AACATATCATCAGCTATACCAATCCTGCCAAAAACTTTAAAAACCTAAAAAAAATCTGATTAAACCCCTAAATCAAACTAATTCCTTAGAAATACAGAATGCATTAAACCTTTGATTTTCATAAAAGATACCTGAGAGAGCAATCAATTGCCATGTAAGGACCTTACATGATGTTAATTCAAAGTATTTTAATTATTTATTTATTTGAGAGGGAGTCTCACTCTGTTGCCCATACTGGAGTGCAGTAGCATGCTCACTGCCACCACAGCCTCAACCTGCTGGGCTCAGGTGATCCTTCCACCTCAGCCTTCCAAGGAGCTGGTGAACTACAGGCATGCACCACCCATGCCCGGCCAATTTTTGATTTAATGTAGAGATGAGGTCTAGCCAAGTTGCCCAGGCTGGTTTCGAACCCATGGGCTCAGGCAATCCTGTCACATTGGCCTCCCAAAGTGCTGGGATTATAGGAGTCAGCCACCACAGCCAGCAATTCAAAGTATTTTAAAATTTATATAAAGATAAAACTTCTGAGATCACTGGAAATCTGAGCACTGATTACAGATATTCAATCTGATGCTAAAAAATTATTTTTTGATATGCTAGTTATATAGTTACATTTTTTAAAAAGACTTGCCTTTTACAGACATGTATTAAAATATTTATAGACTACATATGATTCTGGAATCTTGTTTTCAAGTAATATGAAAAGGGAGAAGTGAGTGGAAATCTAAATAAAAGAACATTATCCAGGAGTCGGTCATTTTTTTTTCTTGAGTTGGAGTCTCTCACTCTGTCGCCCAGGCTAGAGTGCAGAGGCACACTCACAGCCACCCCAGCCTCGACCTGCTGGGCTCAGGTGATCCTTCCACCTCAGCTTTCCAAGTAACTAGAACTATAGGTACATGCCACCATGCCTGGCTAATTTTTTGACTTAGTGTAGAGATGAGGTCTCACCAAGTTGCCCAGGCTAGTCTTGAATGCATGGGCTCAGGCAATCCTCTCACCTCAGCATCCCAAAGTGCTGGGATTATAGGCGTGAGCCACTACGCCTGGCTGAATTGGTCACTTTTGATTAGATGATAAGTAGAATGGGGTTCAGTATTGCATTTGGCCTGCCTTTATACATGTTTGAACTTTCTATTAATAAAAGTTTTTAAAAATAAGATATCTAGCCGGGCTCGGTGGCTCAGCCTGTAATCCTGTGCCTTGGGAGGCTAAGGTGAGTGGATTGCCTGATCCCACGGGTTTGAGACCCGCATGGGCAACTTGGTGAGACCTCATCTCCACAATAAATAAAAAAATTAGCTGGGTGTGGTAGTGCGCGCCTATAATTTCAGCTACTTGGAAGGCTGAGGCGGAAGGATCACCAGAGCCCAGCAAGTCGAGGCTGCAGTGGCTGGGAGCGGCCACTGCACTCCAGTCTGGGCGACAGAGTGAGACTCCAACTCAAAAAAAAAAATAAAAATAAAAATAAGATATCTGTTCCATTTACCTTGTAACTGAGATACATAAAGATTCTAAATAAATAAAATTGGGAAAGGTCAATTTCTTCTCTCATATTGTCCTTGGCCAATTTTGGTATGGAGGTTATACTGGCTTCATATTATAAGCAGGGTAACTTTGCCTCTTTTCCTAGTCTCTGGAAGTTATATAAAATTTGAACAATTTGTTTCTTAGAGGTATAACAGAGCTTTGTAAAACATGATGGCTATATGTGGGAAAGGTGTATTTTAATTACTAATTTTATTTTATTTATATTTATTAACATTATATCTATTTAGGATTCCCGTATCTTTCCCATTTCCTTTTTTTTTTTTTTGAGGTGGGGTCTCACTCTGTTGCCCAGGCTAGAGTACAGTGACACGATCACAGTTCACCACAGCCTCAAACTACTGGGTTCAGGCAATCCTTCCAATTCAGGCTCCTGAGTTAACTAGGCATACAGACACACATTACCATGCCTGGTTAATTTTTTTTTTTTTACAGCGATGAGGTCTTGCTATGCTGCCCAGGCTGGTCTTGAACTTCTGGGCTCAAGCAATCCTCTTGCCTCAGCCTCCAAAAAGAATTTCCATCTATTCTTTTTTTTTTTTCTCTGAATCGGAGTCTTACTCAGTCACCCAGGCTGGAGTGCAGTGGCATGCTCATGGCTATTGCAGCCTTGACCTGCTGGCTCAGGCGGTCCTCCTGCCTCTGCCTTTCAAGTAGGTGAAACTACAGGCACATGTCACCACACCGAATAACTTTTATTTATTGTAGAGACGAGGTCTTGCCAAGTTGCCCAGGCTGGTCTCAAATCCCTGGGTTCAGGCAATCTTCTCGCCCAGGCTTCCCTAAGTGCTGGGATTACAGATGAGTTACCATGCCTGGCTTCATTTATTCTCGAGTCAGTTTTGTTTAGCATATTTTTCTAGAAAATAGCCAATTTCATCTGTTCCTTTGTCATTTCCAATGTATAGGCATAAAACTATTTATAAATTTTACTTAAATCTCTACTCTATTTGTAGTTACTGTTCCACTGTCATACCTCATAGCATTCTATGTGCCTTCTTTTCCCTTGATTCATCCCTTTAGTGGCTCATTTTTTCATTAGTCTCTTCAAAGAACCAGATTTGGGTTCCACTGAGTCTCCGTATCGTTTGTTTTTCATCATTAAATTCTATTTTTAGCATCATTGTTTTCTTCTACTTTCTTTGGGAAGCTTAGTTAAATACTTAGATCATTCACTTCAACCTTTCTTTTTACGTGTGTATTCTATCTTATGAATTACTCTCAAGTACTACCTTACCTGCAGCATTCAAGAAGTTTGCTATGTGATGCTTTTGTTCTGATTTCTGTAGAAGTTCAATTTCCATAATCATTTCTCCTATGACCCAAGAGTTATTTTTAAATATTTTAAAGTCTCCAAACATGACAATGTTTTATCTTTTGATTTGTAGTAACACTGTATTGTGGGTTGTATATTAATTACCTACTTGCTTTATGACTTGATATGTGGTGTGTATCTTGCTTTATGACCTCATATGTGGTATGTATTTAAAAAGCATATGACCTAATTATATAAGTTTCAGGGTTCTATAAATGTCCATTATAAAAAGAGCTCAACTTAATACCTCTCTTACTCAAATCTCCTATATCTTTACTAATATTTTATCTGATATATTATTAAAAGGTACATAAAAGACTTACTATCTTAATTCTCCCAAACATTGTTCAGAACAATTGCCAAAATACATGTGTAAGAGGCATAAATTCATTGTGTACCAAGGATGCCTAGGGCAGAGGTTCTCAAACTTTAGCATATAACACAAACATTTGAGAATTTATTAAAATAGAGACCAAAAGACTCCATACCCTGTTTCTGATTCAGTAAGTCTGGGGTCCTGCCAGGAATCTGCATTTCTAATAAGCTTCCAGGTGGTGCTGCTGCTGATCAGGAGATCATGCTTTAAAAACCACTGCCTTAGGGATTAGTGATAATTATCTCACGGTATCCCCACTGAGGGCTATAGGACTTAGCCTGTTCTTAAATCTAGAGACTGGTTTCTGTCATCAACTCTAAATAATTTTTAGCTTTAAAATGTTATTTTCTCCCATGTTTCCTTGTAGAATTCCAACTATATAAAAAGTAGCAGCTAACAGTCTTCCCTCTGACCAGAACTACTCCAGTTTATTCTTTACACAGTCCTCTAGCTTAAAGAAAAAAAGGTTGGTATCATTCCTTTACCCAAAATTATTCACTGCCTTCTCTGTATCTACAGAAGCAGTTCTTTTGGGGGAAAAGATACATAAATGGGCTTCAGAGTAAATGCAAATATTTGAGTATCTATATTATGGTACACATGCTTTTTGTAATACTATCAAATAGGTCTGTGATCAAAACTCGTTAAAAACTGCTAACCTATTAAATTCCAAGGGAGTCACAGTGATAAAACTTTTCCTGATCCATGCTTGTCCTTCCCATATACCCCCTGCCTGGGCCACTCTGTACACACCATGCTTTCAAATTTTCACCTTATACCCATATTATCTCCACTAAAAAAGAATGCCCAATAGGTGTCTCATAGGTCTCACAAACTCCTACTTGACTAAGAGTTCCAATATCATCTCCTCCAAGAAACCTTCCCCAACCTGCTTGAGTTCACTGCTACCTATTCTGCTCTCCTCAGCACTTTGAACTATTATTATTTGTATCACTATTGCTTTTCACCTTTCTAATTACTGGTCTACAAAACTGCCATCCTCTGTGAGTTATCTCAGACAAGAACGAAATCATTATCTTTAAATTCCCACAGTAGATACCCAAATGTTCATTAAATACATAAACATGTTATCTACATGGTGCCTAAATATAATTTTTCCTTGGACTCTGTAGACAGTTTCTAAGTGAATGTATATTCATATTTTAAGAACTTTCAGATCTGTCTTCATCTCGATTTTCAAGGGAACCAGGTAGTCAATGGGGGCAAACGGCAACTAATCTAGTTTCATTCTCATATTTCTTCAAAAAATACCTAAAAGAGTCAAAACAAAGATTATATCCCTGCAATGTCAACAGAACAAAAAGAATAACACTGGAGGGGTAATCAAATCTAAGGTTCAAAAATCTTAATGGAAGAGGCACTTCCATTCTATTCCTATGCAACTCTACCTGGTTTATTTGCTCACTTAAAACACAGATGTGTGTATTATAAATGAGAAGATTCTTCTCATTATTTACTAAAACACTCACAAACTCAGAAACATCCCTTTAGAAAGGTACATACCCTACAAAGAGAACAACAGTGGATCTCTCCAGGTGCTGAGGGCAGGAGTGAGGGCAAGAAAAGTCTTTTACTTACTATTTTTCAAATGTTTCTGTATTATCTGTTTTAAAAATCTTATGTATTACTGTAGAATCAGAAAAGCATAATAGAAAGGAAAAAAATCCTATTTCATGTTCTACTATTTAAGGAAAAATTTTGATTAATCACAAAACTATTTTAATACATTATGCTTACCAGATTTAAGACCTGAAATTTTGAAGATGGCACTTGGTTTTCCATTCGTGACAAATCCTAGGAGTTGCCATACAGGTATTCCATTTGAATCAGGATAGGAAAAGTAGACAGATCCTCCCATTCCCTCAGGAAATGGGACTGTTCCCAGCATAAAAACCACAACATGGTTGATACTTTCATAATCAGGCAAGTCAAAAACAAATTTGTCCTCTGCCACTTGCTGTGCAGCTGTCTGTACCTAGAAAATAAGAAACTCGTCTTAGTTCAATAGTGTTATGAACTTCTACAACTTTTATAGTATCACGATAAGCTATGTTACCACCATAGTCCATTATTCCAAGTGTAACGGTGGTTAACTTGATACTCTAATTTTAATGAAACTGTCAAATATTCCAGAAAGCATTAATTTTAATAGAGATTAAAATATACGTATTTAGCCTTAAAATGATACTTTCATAAATGTAATCTTTTAAAAATATAACTAAATTGCTTCAGAGATGCCCTGAAAGGATTTTACTTACATAAATAATTACAGCTTCAGAATGTTGTAAAAAATGAAAGGTTGTTCAAAACACCACACTACAAAGCTTTTATCCTCCATTGCAAAGGTAAAGAACCTCAGGTAATTAAAACAGGTAAGCAATCCAGAAGTAATTACAGTCAATCCTCCTTATTTGTAGATCCCATATCTGCAAATTTGCCTACTCACTAAGATATTATTTGTAACCCCAAAGCAAGGTTCGCTGCGTTTCTGCAGTCATTCATGAACACACTCACGGACAGAGCAGCAAAAAACATGAGTTGCAGCCAGGTGCAGTGATTCATGCCTGTAATCCCAGCACTTTGGGAAGCCAAGGCGAGAGGATCGCCTGAGCCCAAGACTTCAAGACTAGCCTGGGCAACTTGGTGAGATGTCGTCTGTACAATAAATAAAAAAATTAGCCAGGCATGGTGGCGTATACCTGTAATTCCCGTTACTTGGGTAGCCCAGCAGATCGAGGCTCTGGTGTCCCATAAGCATGTCACTGCACTCCAGCCTGGGCAACACTGAAACTCTGACTCAAGGAAAAAAAAAAGTGAGTTCCTCAACTCACACATTGCTAGTTGAGGTGGGACAAGGCTATGCTGTGTCTTCATGTTTTAGCCCTCATAATGTAACAAGTATCCTTTTCACAGTCTATTTATTTGCATTGTTGTGCTTTTTAGTATGTGATTATACTGTGTGTGGGTGTGTGTGTTTTTGAGTCAGATTCTCACTCTGTCATCCACAGTGGAGTGCAGTGGCATGCTCATGGCTACTGCAGCCTTGGCCTGCTAGGCTCAGGCGATCCTTTCGCCTCAGCCTCCCATGTAGCTGAGACCACAGACACATGCCACCACGTCTGGCTAATTTTTTTAAAAAATTTATTGTAGAGACGAAGTCTTGCCAAGTTGCTCGGGCTGGTCTCAAACCCCTGGGCTCAGACAATTCTCTCACCTCAACCTCCCAAAGTGCTAGGATTATAGATGTGAGCCACCGTGCCTGGCCAATTATGCTGCTTAAAATGGCCAAGGTCAAGTATTGGATAGTGTTCCTAAGTGCAAGAAGGCTATGGAATGACTTATAGAGAAAATAAGTGTGTCAGGTAAGTTTTGCTCAAGCATAAGTTATAGTACTGTTGGCCATGAGCTGAATGTTAGTCAATCAACAATACATATTACATAAAGGATCTTTAAACAGAAACACACATAAGGCAAGCTTATGATAAGTTGACCCACAATGCTGCAACTAGAGGAACCTCTACCTGTAGTCCCACTACAAGCAAGGATTCAGTATTCACCACTTAAGAGTTCAGGGAGATTTTATAGAATATAATTACTGAAAAGAATACGAATCAACTATACATAAGTGCAAAAATTCTACCTTGAATATGATATGTGGTAACTTATAAAAGTTTCCTCTTGATTGATTCATTTCATAATCTAATTTTCTGTTCTAGAATTAAACATCAATTTATAACATAAGATGCTATCTTATTTGAAGTTTGAGAAATCTACCTTCACAGATAAAATTGACACTTTTAGAAAATTACTGACAATTGCTATATCACATCCATTAGCAAAAAGAAATATTAATTCTGAGAGTACTCAGGTATACAGTCTGTTAAAAATTTATCTTATATAAGGTTTTGTTTAATTGCTATTGCCACTCTCTTCACCACAACACCAAATCTGAATTATTTTTGAAAACTAAATGATCAATTCTTAACACCTAGAATGCAATTTATTTCCTGTTACTAATATTTACTGGTTGTTACTAGCATGCTTACTTTCTTGCTCTATCCTATCTTCTGATACAAAAAACTTAAGAAAAGCATATTGCAGTCAGGCACAGTGGTTCATGCCTGTAATCCCGGCTCTCTGGGAGACCGAGGCAAGAGGATTGCCTGAGCCCAGGGGTTCGAGACCATCCAGGGCAACTTGGCGAGACCTCATCTCTACAATAAAAATCAAAAAATTAGCCAGGCATGGCGGTGCACCCCTGTAGTTAGTTCTAGCTACTTGGAAGGCTGAGGTGGAAGGATAGCCTGAACCCAGTAGGTGGAGGCTGAGGTGGCCATGAGCATGTCACTCTACTCCAGTCTGGGTGACAGAGTGAAACTCCAACTAAAAAAAGAAGGAAAACATATTCCTATAACTTCACCTATCTACTAGTTATTATATTGTATCAAGCACTTTTTTTTTTTTTTTTTTGCAGAGAGGAGATTTCAATATGTTGCCCAGGCTGGTCTCAAAATCCTGGGCTCAAGCAATCCTCCCAGTTGGCCTCTGAAAGCGCTAGGATTACAGATGTGAGAGCCACACCTGGCCTCAAGGCCTTAGTATTCTTAACATCAAGCTCTGATTCCCTCTTCAGACATTTTCTGACCTAATTTAAGACCCTTCAGTTCAAGTATAAAGAATAAAAAATACTACAAAAAAAAATTTTTAAACTTAGCCACACACCTATAGGCTCAGCGACTCAGGAGACTGAGGCAGGAGCCCAGGAGGTCAAGGATGTGGTGAGCTGTGATCATGCCACTGCACTCCAGCCTGGGCCACAGAGTGAGACCCTGATTCAAAAAACAAAACAAAAGAAACAAAGGAAAACATAAATATAAACCAAATGACCTATATTAGTATTAAATTCCATTTCACTGGTCACTGGCATACATCCAACCTTAAAAAGCATGGAAAATGATAGCATTTATGAGTCTTGAAATAACCACCAGGCAAAATAAATATATAACTCTGTACAGGCACCAACATTCTGTAAGTCTGTATTATAACACCCTAAGTCTTTACCTTAAGAGAAAATATACCTATTTAAGAAAAACAATTTTTTTTCAATAAATAAAACTGTGTTATAACTTTAAATAAGTGGATTTTTCTGGTAACAGAATAATGTGGTTTTAACTTGTGAGATGGTGCTAGGTCTATTTGTTCTTCATCTTGATTAATCTGTTCTAATACTCGAGTCAAACACCCCCTAAAGAGTCAAACACTCCCTAAAAATCTTGTCTGGAAGACATCTCTACTGGACATCCATTACAGACTTTAAGTGTTGGGTAAACAGGCATAGGTACTGCTATAACTAAATTTCTTTCCAAATTAGTTGACAACATAGATTCCATATAGCCCTTTTATTATTTAAAAAATACACATATTTTAATGTTATTCATTGGTAACATGCATTCATCTGAGTCACACGACCATCCCATGTCAGTCCTTTTGTTTTCCCTAACAAGAGCAAGGGCAAAATTATGTCACCACGATTACCAATTACCACGAGCAGCACAGGGGTCTGTCTCCCAGTCATCTGAGGCAGATAGACTTTCTGAGGCTAGTTCTCTCCAATTGATCTTTGTGGTTTCTTAGAACTGTGTCCGTACAGATGGGGGAAAAAATTCAGCAAAGGGCCTGTAACATTTAACAATGCAGGGAGAAAAAAATAAAAAAACTGTAGGTGAAAGGAGCCAGGTCTGAAAATGGATGTCTGGGCGGTTTCCAAGGAAGCACACACAAGTCAGCCTCCACATTATTCCAAAACAATTCCAGGTGCTGATCTCACTTAATTCGAATAATCTAACAATAGGTTAACACTTTTGACCAATAATAACGAAACACATTGCTTGCATCTTTCTCTGGTCCTCTCAGATGTGGCTCATGCGTTAAGCTTCAGGCGTTTCTATCAACCAACTTCCAACTAGGTTGGGCATATTTTTACTTGGGTCCCTCCAAAGGGACCCAGTGGATATATAGTGCCTGAGTACCTTAATCTTTTTAAAAGTTTGCTACAGACTAAATTCAGTCCCAGGTTTACCTCTAACTTACGTTGTAAGGTTGAGTATTTACACTGCCGATCGTTTAGTTGCAAAATGAAAATGATAATGACTATCGCACGAGTTATAAGGGTTAAGTTTGAGGTACCAAAAAAGCGCCACCTAGAAGACTGAAACCATGAGTAATTGACAAAAAGCGTGCACAGCACTTCTCCCAGTACTTGGTACAGTATGCACACTCAACAAATGGCAGCAGACATTGTGGCAGCTATTCAAACGAATGTGAACCGAGTAAGGCAAAGGAGAGCACTCCAGCTTCCCACGCTGCGTCCCCACACAGCCAGCCAAAATACAGACACCAAAGGGGTCTCCCCGCATCCCCAGCGCCTGCACACCCTCCCCTTCCCAGGGCTTCGTCCTCGGTCTCCTGATCTCCTCCTGATATCACCCGGTCCCATCCTCACCAGCCTCCCCGCCACCAAGCAGCCAAACATGGCGGCGGCAGCAGCTCCGTTTAGGTGCCAGGGACCTGCGGCCAGCGAATAGGAGTCCTGTAGCTACTGCCGTAATCGAACCCAGGAACCTTCCAGAACTTGTCGGAGAACGCCTGCCTCTCCACTACATAGCCACCGGGCCAGCAGTAGGAACGCCTTCAGCCCCAGTGACCTCTGACCTTTCCCCTTAATCACCCCGCCTCTCAGGGCCGAGTGCTTCCGGCCCTCTAAGGTAGTAAGAAGGACCTGCGTCTGTGCAAGACTACACGTCCCAGAGGGCCATGCGCCGTCTTCCGGAAAGCAGGTTGGGAGCATTTGCTAGTTCGGATCTGTACTCCGGGTGTACTGCCCTCTCTCACAGCCCATGAAGTCCGATCCTTCATTTCCAAGGACTGTACAGCGCTGGGAGGAGATGTTTATAACGTTCGTGTAGCATTTTAGAGATTAACAGTGAGCTTTTACAATTCGCATTTCACTAGATCTTCCAAAAACGCAATGACATAAGAATTATAGTCCCAATTTTATAGGTGAGGAAATTGAGGCTCAGAGTGGCCGACCGCAAATCTTTACACAGCAGTAAATGCCTGCATTCAAATCCTTATCCGAATCCTGGTTACTTTCTGCTGCACAGTATCTCAGCAGTATTATTATTAGTATTGTTTTTGAATCGGAGTCTCACTCGCCCAGACTGGAGTGCAGTGACAGGCTCACATGACCGCAGCCTCGACCTAATGGGCTCAAGGCGATCCTTCCACCTCAGCCTTCCAAGTAGCTGGAACCACAGGTGCGCTCCACCACGCCTGGCTAATTTTTTGATTTATTGTAGAGATGAGGTCTCGCCAAGTTGCCCAGTCTGGTCTCGAACCCGTGGGCTCAGGCAGTCCTCTCACCTCCGCCTCCCAAAGTGCTGAGATTACTGGCGTGAACCACTTTTTAACCAACTGTTTTGAACTTGTTTACAGTTGTATTGTTCTTTTCAGCTTCACTAATTTCTCCCATTCACTTGCTATATAACTGTGGGCAAGTTATAAACATCTTTGTGCTTTATTGTCCCCCTCTGCAAAATAAGAATAATGTGCCTTTTTCGTAGGGTCACTGTGAGGATTAAATGAGTTAGGTTCTGCATATCCATCAGGTGGCGGGATCAAGTCACCATTGAGAAAGAATTTATTTTCTTTTTTTTTAGGTTGAAAAATATAGTTTATTTAGAAAGTAAATAAGAAAGAAAGCGAGAGAGGAGATTCACCTCCCTAAGGTAGGGGAGGGGGCCAAAGCTCAAAGGGCCACATGGACACACCAGAGTTTAACAAAGCAATAGCCAAAGAATTTATTTTAAAAGTGTCATCTTAAACTGCAAGGACATCCATCAAACATCACAATTAAACATGTCCAAAGGAAAAGTCATGCTGCCCACTTAACCCACCCAAAAATCTCAAACCCACCCTGTACTGACATTCTATTACCCCATTTTTAAAAATGTTTTTTTTAAACAAGAGAAAATAGACATATATGTTAGTAAATGCTAACTATCCATACTTTACACAGAGACACAGTGTACTCTCTGAGCTCAATATATGGACAACAGAGTAAAATAACAGAATTCTATGTACGAGTACACAGGCATCCAGCACCCATGAGCTCCTGCAGAGGAAAGGAGGTTTCTTTTTTCCCCCACAGAGAATGGTGGTTTTGATTCCATATAGTTTTGTTGAGACAGGAAGGAATAAAAATGAAGCTGGAACAGAAATGGGTAGAGATACTTTTCCCACTGTATTCTACACAAGATATTTTCCCGCAGAATAACTTCAGAACAATGCTGTAGAGAAAAGAGATGTCAGAAACTGGGTAACTGAGCACACGAGGAAAAGAGAAAAAGACTGCAACTTGTTCCCAGGAACTGGAGAAAATTTTTTTAAAAGGAAGGTTGGGGCCGGGTGTGGTGGCTCACTCCTATAATCCCAGCACTTTGGGAGGTTGAAGTGAGAGGATTGCCTGAGCCCACGGGTTTGAGACCACCCTGGGCAACTTGATGAGACTTCGTCTCTACAATAAATCAAAAAATTAGCCAGGCATGGTGGCGGGTGCCTGTAGTTCCAGCTACTTGAAAGGCCGAGGTGGAAGGATCTCCAGAGCCCAGCAGGTTGAGACTGCGGTGGCCATGAGCATGCCACTGCACTCCAGTCTGGGCAACAGTGAGACAGCAACTCAAAAAAAAAAACAAACAAGAAGGTTGGAATCCATCAGTGTTCTACTAGTCATCTTCTTCACCCTCTTTTCCTTCCTCTATCATCTTCACCTTCTTTGCCTTCATCTGCATTCCCTTCATCATCATCATCTTCTTCTCCTTCCCCTTCGTCATCCACATCAGAAACCAAGTAGTACTGTAATGAACTTGACCAAATATCATCTTTGATGACCTCTTCTTTTTTTTTTATTTTTATTTTTTGAGTCGGAGTCTCACTCTGTCGCCCAGACTGGAGTGCAGTGGCCGCTCCCGGCCACCGCAGCCTCGACCTGCTGGGCTCTGGCGATGCTTCCGCCTCAGCCTTCCAAGTAGCTGGAACTATAGGCGCACACTACCACGCCAGGCTAATTTTTTTAGTTATTGTAGAGATGAGGTCTCGCTGTCCAGGTGGGTCTCGAACCCGTGGGCTCAGGCAATCCACTCACCTCAGCCTCCCAAGGCGCAGGATTACAGGCTAAGCCACCGAGCCCAACCTGATAACCTGTTCTAACTCATCTGCACCTGCATCAGAATGGTCAGTAAACCAGGTAAGATAGCTCTCCGATTCTTTATGTTGTCTCTTCCTGCTGGCTTTATTCTGTTTGACTTGAGTGTTTAATCAAATTCTCTCCAGATTTTCATTGATTTCAGTGAACTTTGAAGATGGAGCAAAACCCTCATTCAGATAAAATTATTTGGAGAGAATTTTATTTTTAAAGTAAGGATTTCATCAAAATAAAAATCTATCCTGTAACCTGATTTAATATCTTCAAATTCTGTCGCTTCAACTCTGCCCAAATAATCCAGTGCCTCTTTATCCTCCTCCTCAAACAGTGCAGACACTTGTAGATGATTGAAATGTTATCACCCAAAATTTGAGATTTTGGCAATCAATTCTGATCTCTTTTGAAAAGATAGTTGGTGGAGATACTGTTGTTCTACTTTTATATTGCTGTTCTACTTTTAAAATTCTCTCCACTGGCTTGTTCATTAAGTCTGTGTATTTCATTTTGTATGCATTAATATGTTCAATTGCTTCTTGCTAATTTTTTTTTTTTCTCTCTTCTGGGGCAACCCCAGAGAGGTTTATGTCTCCTTCAGCCTCTGGGTAGAAATGGTCTTAATTTCTTCTTATGAGGCAGGAGTGGAGACTGCATTTGAGGGCCATCCTGTGAGGAATGGTCAAGAACCAGATCTCAGATCTCCTTGCCCATCAGGAAGAAGCTCAGAAAACTCTCATATTATTGTTTTAAATCATAACATCGTAGTCTCTAAACTTTTGCTGCCTGGAACAGTGTCAAGAAATCATCAACCAGGCAAAGTGGGGACCAAAGGGAGGCCCAAGCTTTACCTGTACGATGTCCACTTGTATACCTAATCCTGAATTGTACCCCACATCTTTAAAATATAAAAAAAGAAGAAATCATCATCATAACAATCTTACTAGATAAGAATTTCAGCTCAGAGTAGACATATTGCTGATCTGAAACTTTCCAAATGAAATGATAGTTCTCTCTTGAAAGCAGATCCAAGTGGCTTTCCCTGTTACTCTTATTATTTGTGATACATTGCAAACATGTCAAATTCTTTCTCTACCTGTGTATGTGCCCTTGCATGGGACTTTGAAACTTGTCCCATCAAGAGATGGAGTCTGTTTCTTCACCCTCTTGGCTTTCTTACTTGATTTGACCAAAAGAATACAGAAGTGATGATATACCATTTCCAAGGTTAGACCTCAAAAATACTCACCAGCATCTGTTGTAGTTCTTGGAACTTTGCCAGTTTACTACAGAACTGACCAAAGGAAAGCCCGCTGGATAATGAGACACCTGGCCCAGTTTCCTCAGCCAACATTCAAATCCCATGAGCAGAGCTACCTTGCTGACTGACTGACAGCTGACCATAGATATGAGTGAGCCCAGTCAAGACCAGAAGAATCATGAGTTAAATGAACTGTTGTCTTATGCCAGTAAGTTTTGGGGTGTTTGACTAAGCAGCAAAAGCTAACTCCTGTATAGTTCCTTCACAATGTGGAATCACTGTTTGTTTATTCATTTCCCTTCCCTATAAGCAAATAATGGCAGTTATCTATTTAATAGCTATTTTCCTCTTTCTTCCTTGTTAAGAATGCCAGAATCCTAGTTTTCTTCTGGCACCCCCCCTCTCGTGACTCAGGAGCCCTGGGGAAGACCCTGCTTTATTTGATCCACAATTTCTTTTTTTTTTTTTGAGTTGGAGTCACACTCCGACGCTCAGGCTGGAGTGCAATGACACACTCACAGCCACCCCAGCGTCGACCTGCTGGGCTTCATGGGCTCCGGCAATCCTTCCGCCTCAGACTTTCAAGAAACCGGAACTACAGGCATACACTACCACATCCGACTAATTTTTTTATTTATTGTGGAGATGAGGTCTCATCAAGTTGCCTGGGCTGGTCTCCAACCCATAGGCTATGGCAATCTACTCACCTTGTCCTCCCAAAGTGCTGGGATTACAGGCTGAGCCAGATCAACAACTTTCTATTCCTTTGGCAGTGATTGGTTTAGGATCAATCACATAACCTCAGAGTAAGTTTGTTGGGAGCTTTGGGGAAAAGTTTCTTAGGCTTAAGAAAGTCACATAGCGCCAGGATGGTGGCTCATGCCTATAATCCCAACACCTTGGAAGGCCAAGGTAAGAAGACTGCCTGAGCTCACGGGTTTCAGATCGGCCCAGGCAACTTGGTGAGACCTCATCTCTACAATAAGCTTAAAATTTAGCTAGGCATGGTGATGCGTGCCTGTGGTTTCAGCTACTTGAAAGGCTGAAGTGAAAGGATCACCCTAGACCAGCAGGCAGAGGTTGTGGTGACTGTGAGCATGCCACAGAGCTTCAGCCCGGGCAACAGAGTGAGACTCTAACTCAAAAAGAAAAAAGAAAGTGTTATGACCGAGTAAATGAGAAGAAATTAT